AACAACATATTATTGTAAAACTAATACATTCATTGCTCCACTCAGAATTTAAATTTATAAAAATAATTATTATAAGAAAGTATTACACTTTTCCAATACTATTTAAACCAGCTAAAATATAATATAGTATAATAACACAGATTATATAAAATACAATATTTCATAATTTCATTTAATCTGTGGTAATAACAACTGACTAGTACCTTCATATTGTTGTACTAAAAAAAAGTTCTATACACTTAATACATATTATGTACCTACCTAATAAGTAATAATATATTTGATTTGAAGAGTTAATAATATTCTACATAAACTAGGTATTCATTAATTACATTAATTTTACATTATACATTAATTTACTATTTAGTAAATACAAAGTTAACTTACCTACACACAAATTTTGAACATTCATTAAATGCTGATTTATTATTCATAATCCAACTTGTATTTGTTTCATTGCTATACTCACTAATCCATTTAAAAATGTCTTGCCCAGTGAACAAATTTGAGCGATAAACATTATTTTCACATTCGATCAATTTAAACATTTTATTAATGGAGTAATACACCATAAAACACTATATAATTAATTAAAAGTAATAATCAATAGGTGGTATATACTATTAATTACACTGTCTATTTTTGTAATGATTATCATATTATCATATTATAGTCTGTAATAATTTGGCGGGAATTTAAAATCGACCAATGAGAATGCGTATTTGAACACAGGTGCCGAAACAGACCCCAGAATGCTTATATGCCACCCGACCATGGTCGGATTGATAATAGACACCCGACCATGGTCGGACTGATAATAGACACCCCCCGACCATGGTCGGACTGATAATAGACACCCGACCATGGTCGGACTGATAGTAGACACATGATAGCACTGATAGTATAGATTAAGATATTGCACATTTCAATAATTTTGAATAACATTGTGAATAATATTATAATAATTATTAATTACTGTTTTAACTACCAACGTCGAACCTCGTGACTTACCCACTTGAATCTGAATAACCTAAAAGTATGAGGTAATTATAATGTTATGTATGTAATTATATTATATCTATTGTAATTTATTAGGTTTATTATCATATTCTATTCTTTAAAATCTGCATAGCATTTGTTGCAAAACCAATGCTTCCCGTGTTGGTTATCCTTGACACAATCTATATGATACCAAACCAAGCAACAGTCGCACAAAATAGATGGCCGTTCTTCTATTTCATGGTTGCACGTTGGGCATATCCAGATGGTGTTCTTTTTTTTTGTTTTCATTAATGAAATTACTGCTTTCCATGCTTCTTTAGAACAGTACGGCTTGATACTCCCCACATCAATCTCGTTCTCAACAATTCCATTAAATACATCGTCTGGATATTGGACATCTTCTTGGATAAGGTATTTTTCTTTTCTCACTTTCTTTACAACTGCCTTGTTGGTAAGCCATTCCATTACCAAGTTTTCCTTGGTCAAATAGTTAAGTAAATTGAAACGTACTGGCTTAGCTGGTTTTCGCTTGATCGGTAAACCTATTGTGGTTTTTGTTGCACCTTTAGTTATGGTGTATATCCACAGCGTAAAAATATATGAAGCACTGATAACTTAAATAACTATATTTTACGGAAAAACTCATATTGTCAATGCCGTGAACTCTGGTAGAGGTCAGATTTAAAGTATGAAATTTAAAATTTTACAACATCAAAAATGTTTAACAACATTTCCATTTCATTGAAAAATTGCAGGTTACAATATTATATTTTTAATACACTTACTGATATAACATCAAATAGGTAGTTCTAATGGTAATTTGATTTTAACTTGAAACTCGTAAAGAAATGTCTAAATTTAATCTTTAATGAAATGAGAGTAAATAAAATAAATAAAAATAAACAACAAACAAATAAATTATTTCTTTGGCTTCTTTAAGGTTCTTTTTAACCATGTTCACGACAGAATCCCTAACATTTTATACTAATATTATTACAAACCATTAAACAATTTCACTTTAATTATAAGTCCAGGACTATGAAAAACATATTTCAAAATTATGATACAGTTAAATCAAAATTGTCGTTTTTCAGTTATGCAAAATATTAGTAAAGATATAACATGTATTCAAAAAATTGAAATAAACTTTCCAATTACCCCAGACTTAAATAGTAAAATTTAAAAATGGTTAATACTATTGATATAACTTGAATTTAGCCTTAATTATTATTTGATGACAACATCAATCATTGACAAAAGAATTTAGTACCTATTTATCATTATACAATGTAATACATCATTTAAAAAAAAAAAACCTAATAATATACATTTTTTAAAATTTTATACATATTGAGCATTTATACTATTGGGTACTATTAGTAGTAATTTAAATATAATTATTAATCACATACCTACCTACTTTTTTTTTTAAAAATTTTGTATTTGAAGTTGTAATGATCGATGTTGTACAAATTACAAAACATTAAAATTAGCACAATTTTTAGTTTTCAATACATATAAAGTATGTGATTGTTGATTTCACTGTGGCATACTCAAATTCCGTTTTGGAATCATAATATAATATGTGTAGTTATAATGTGCAGTTATAATGTGCAGTTAGACCAAATAGATTTTTTCCCACTGCTTTGCAATTAACTTGATTACCTAAAAAAGTTGTTTGTCAATACAATAGTTAAATGATGTACCAGTTAAAAAAAATGTATACTTACATAGGTAGTGTATTAACATTAACGATTCAAGGTCACGACCAAATACTTTAAATGATTTGATTAATTCCAAAAACTATTTGGCATTTTGGCACAATTCAATTATTTCTTATAATCTTTCAAGTTTATACTAATATGTCAATTTACCTACTTACTATACAAAATTAAGAAAAAAGAAAAAGAAAACACATTTAGTAGAATTCAATTTACATTACTATTACTATTACCTACCTAACATTTCAAATATCAAAGTTCTAACCTTTTATTTGTTTAACACATAGGTAGGTACCATCAAACATCTCAAGCATAACACAAATTTAAAATATTACATACCTATTATATTTTTCAATGCACAATATACCTATTATTATTTATTAATTAGCTCATTAAATACATAAATTAAAATAGATGATTAAAATTAAAAGTTACAGAAAAAACATTAGGTATCAAGTTTCATATTAGGTTAATGTAATTTACTTTATTTGTATCTATTTATTGTAAACATTAAATTTTCAGTGTGAAAACAATTATTAGAACACTTTAAATATTAATATCAAAAGACAGTAAGTTAATAAGACATTCATAGTTTACACTTCTATAGGACGTATCTATTAGGTACATATTATTATTATAATAAACACACGTCTTAACCAATGTACAATTATAAAAATTTAAGATATTTAGGTACCTAATCGTCATTTCTAAATTATTACCCAGAATATCTTGCACAAAATATTTGTGTTTTAAATTTTTTAAAAACATTTATGCAATACCTATATATTATCTGATATTTCATAAATTTTAATTTTATATATTATTCCAATAATAAAAATAGAAATAGGTAACGGCTCCAATGCTCCATACCAATATTCTGTACAATTTAGATATTTTCTAACAATACATTTTACTCAATTGTCTTTAGACTTTATAATATTGATTTTTTAAACTATATACCTACTTTATCATCTAATATAAAGTACATATTTATTCTTTTCTTTTGATGTACCTATATATTGTTGTAACTTGTATTTGTTTTTTTTTAAATTATATTTTCTATAAACTATATCAGATAGGTAGTTCTAAAATTCATAAAGAATAATCATGTATTTCTTTGCTTAAATTGATCAACCAAGGGAATATACCTAACTTAGAATTATCAGTTTTTTGTTTTTCCGCAGTTATATTTAATATTTTTTATATTGTATTAGATAATTTTCATACCTACCTAAATGCACTAAAATCATCAAGTGGTCTAGGAATCATTGAAAAGTAGTTGGGTATATAAAATGTATAGTTTTTTTATGTATTATTATTTATAAGTTTACTGTAAGATATTAAATGTTGACCATATAAGATAATTAGTAATACATTTTTTTCAATAATCGAGAAGCTACGTCTGTTATTAAGTAGGTAGGTATTTAACAAGTTTCAGCACATGCTAAAATGCGAACAGTAAATACTAAATGCATAAAATGTTAGTAAAAAGCTTTCTTTAGTTTACAAAATACTTGGGAAAAAAAAAAAACAAATGGTAATTGTAAATCAAAATCAATTTTTGAAAAATTTCATTTGATTTTTTTGGTGTAACTCATAAACAATATTAACCACTGACTGTAGACAATTGACATTTTTCACATAATATTCATATTAGAATTTTCTATAGTACCTAGGTATATGGTAAATATTTATAGTATAATATTTTGTGCTATTTATATTCATGAGAATTTGTTATGTTAAAAATTATTTTGCAATTAGAAATTCAAAAAAGTTTTTTTTTTCGTAGCTAACATTAAAAATTCTAATAGAAGATTCCCAATTAGTTTTTCTACCTTTATCAAAAAAAATAAAAGTTACACTTTTTATAGCCATTAGATATTTAAATATTTTCTATTGGTTTTTTAAAATTATGAAATAAGGTATTTATACAAGTATACTAGAATGATACAACGTCTCTGCTCGGATATCATTTTTTGTATGCAATGATGTATCATTCAATTAAAATGGCATGCTCGGCAGTAATCATTACAGAATCTACAGCATAATCTGTACCCACCTTAGTCTTGTCCACCTTTTTTTATTTCTACTAGATATTGTACATTCATTATTATTATATATTTATGTAAAATTTTTAATTACAATCAAAGTTAAATATTCATTTGACTATTTATGTATTCACTTCTGCAGTGTTTAAGACAACACATACATATTTTGTTTTTGTCTGAAAAGAAGTAGAATAACCAACACTTCAATTTCCCACTTTAGAAGTGGTTTCTGGTAGAAAATATTTGATCTAGTAGGTACATTTGAAAGGCCAAATGTAGGACAATACCTAGGGATTTTAAAAATTGGTCAGTAGCTTTTAGATATAGTAAAATGTAAATAGTTTAGTCATATTTGCATTGTAGTAGGTATCATAAATAAGTTTGGTAAGTATAGGGTCACAGACAAAACTATTAAAATTTAAATTTCATGTCAGTTAATATTTTCCATTACTGCATATTATACAGTTCATCATTACATTTATAATTTGTTAGTTATGTAACAAATATTAGCTTTGAATGTCTAATTTTTTAGGTACTTACTTAACCCATATTCTTGATAAAAATATTTTAAATTTCTAATTATATTATGATGTATTAATTATTATTATTATATATTTATATAATATAATATTAATTATTATTCGCAAGCAATATTTAAATATATTTTAATTTAATGGATTATTGTGAAAAATGTAAATATCAAACTAAAAGTATAGATGTTCCTGAATTTATTAAAAAAAAAAATAAAATAAAATTTAGGAAATTATCAGTTTGTAGAAAATGTAATACAAATAAAAACAATATATTAAAGCCACCAGAATTTATAGAAGTTAATGATTTATTTAAACCTGCTAGAAAAAAATTTTGAAACAAGACATTTCATACAAAGAGGTATAAATGATACCTGGCAAGCTGATTTGTACTGTTTGTATAGAAACAGTTCTCATTTATTAATTTTGGCACAGATGATTTTATTACTATAATTCCAGTATAAAGAAGGAATTGCCTAAACTCGGTTTCCTTCCATCTAGCTAATTCATCAAATCCTCTTGGTTTACGACTGAAGTCACACGGAATACATTTTTTTATGGATAAAAGATTGGTAGATATACGTTTAATAACATTAATACCTATTAATTTTTGACAATTTACATTTAATCTACCTAGTAAATATCTTTACTTCCCTTCCATAATGTAAGAATTTTTTTTACAACACCTAAGCATACTAAATGCAAATAGTCAAGAACAAAACTACCTATCTACAATATTAACATCGGGAATGTTAATTATTTCAGTAATGTTTTCAGACATATGATAATGTTCTTGTATATGATTGATGAAATCTTCATGAGTTCTTTTTGAACAATCTAGCTTAGGAAAACATTTCGCCGCGGAAGTATTGCGAAAGCAGTTCCCGCGGCGTCGTCGGTTAAACCTGGAAAAAAAAAAAGCTTAGGAAAACATACTCTTCTTAATTAATAATCACCTTGTACAGTACATCTAGTACAGGAGTAAAATCCAGCGTGTCCCTTAATCTTCAATAAATAAGATTTGGCTGGTGAGTCACAACAGAAGGCATCAATTCTAATAAATATTGTTTTTATTATTTTTTTTTTTATCTTTGTTTAGTATTTCAACATCAACACCGTTCAAAGACTTTAGACTGACATTTAATTTCATCAACAAAATCCTTTATGAAAATATTACTATTAATAGGTTTCTCGTAGCCCCAATAAATCCAAATTGGAAAAACTATTTGAATCTTTTTGTCCCAATATAGGCCAAAAACAACTACCTGAACTTTTGGCTAAAGGCAATCCATCTACACCTATATCCAATTTTATTGTTTCACCAGAAAAATCTTTATTAATATACTTTTTAATACCATTACTAATGCCAAAATGATGATATACTCCTGGAGGTACTGTTTTTACTTGGACAGGTAGATTATAAGAAATATTAGAATGGGTCTGTTAAAGTGTTCTAGCATCAACAGGAAAATTACTAAAACATGTATGCTCTTTTAAAATTTTTAATAATTCTGAAAATGTATTATTTGGTACATTATGATCAATTGCCCACTCATCTAATTTACTGGTTTCTGATTTTTGTTGATCATAAATATTACCATGGTAATATGCATATTCTTCTTCACTGCCATTTTCATCACTATCACTTTTACTTTTAAAATTTTAAAAATTATTTATTGGTTCCAAGAAGTTATCTTTTTTATTCAGATTTTGGTTGTTATTTGAATTGTTTAGAATAAAAGAGATATTTTTATCAATTTTTTTTAAATTCAGGTCAACTAGGACTATATTGTTTGAGCATTCATATGATTGATTGCTGTGAATTATTTCATTATTATAGTCACCCTCGGCTAAATGTTTAAGCAAATTCAGTTCCTCGATTACTCTTCTATGTTTTGTAGATTTACTCATACAGTTATTACGATGCATTATAATTACTAATTATATTCCACAAGAGGTAATTAAAATATAGTTCCTTACTGTATACATATCAAAAATATATCGATGTATAAGTTATAATTTAACTATCATAATTTACAATACTTACAATTCGTCGGTAGTTTTATTATATTCCAATAATTTAATGCAAACAACACACGTTGCATATTATATAATATATAATAGGTATATTATATTACAAATCAGACACAATAACACTGATTTTTAATAAAATAATAGCGGAATGACAAGCTCTTCACGCGTGGCCAAACGTTTCACCACGATAGAAAAAATATGTTTGCACTTATAGGTATAATATAGTGGCGCTGCAGATATATAGGTAGGTACCATAATAAATATTATAAGAGCAAATAATATATAATATAATATTATTATACGCGGGGTTTTATAGCTGCAGGCTCGCATATAATATATAATATGTATTATTATTATATAATAGCTGTAATCCCAGGCAAAGTTTTTTTTAGATATTGACTGCAATTTAATTTTAATATCGATATGATATTATTTTGATATAAATTATAAAGTTATAATATATATAATACTAATGATTATTATATTTTGTATACAAAAAAATAGTTATAATACTAATGTTCCTTTAACAATATCTTTGATATAATAATTTGTTGTTTGTCAGGACGTATCTTTTTATTTAATACATCCATTTTATTGTATGTATCAATTTCTTTAACCAAAGGTTCAATTTTATGTAATCATTCCATTCTGTATTATAGAAAATATTAAATTTTTCACATTAAATTTTTTAATAGAATAATTTCTCTTAAAAATATCATTTAAAATTTAGGTTTTAACTTTTAGTAACTCTTCGTTATAAAAACTCCCTATAATCTCTTCATTGTTTAAATCTATAATTTTATAGTTAATATGATTTGTGTTTAAAATTTCATTAACTATAAATATTTCTTTTGTCCAATTATTAATATATATTATTACCAAATGTTTTTTTTCTTACTATATCACCTACACTAAATTTAACTAAAGGTTCAATTTTATTTAATCCTTCCATTCTTTATTATAGAAAATATTAATATTTTACATTCAATTTTTTCAATTTTTTCAATTTTTGTTTTGCAATTTTATTATAATTTTTTTTTTTTTTTAGATTTGTCATCATCAGTTTTAGATATGGACCCCTTTGGACCTTCAGTAAGTATATTTTATTTATTTGTTAATTGTCATTTCATGTGACTTTTCATGGTTTTTTTTTATTCAGACTAGTAGTGCAGGCCAAGATCTTGGCGGTTTGGTTGATGAACCTGTGAACGTAAGTTCATCACGTATATCTAATAACTTTTTTACTCGCAAGTTCATGTTCTATGTTTGTGTTGATATTTGTTTATGAATTTTGATTTATACAATTTTACGTTTTTTAGGAATCTCTACCTGCCGGTACCTCAGCCGCCACCTTCGCAGATAACCAAAATACGTATTGCAATCGTACGCAACCTGGGGTAAGTGTCATTTTGATATACATTTGTTTGTCCATTACCTATTTCCACATCACCCTAGTAAGGTTAAGCATATTTATTTCTAGCATGTTTTTAAAATATTTTTGGTTTGTTTTGGTATTTTGATGGTTTTAGGAGATGTTTTTTGGGGATTGTTTAGATATTTTTAGGTGATGTTTTCAAGGTCATCATTTTAGATTAGGGGATGTTTTAAGGGATGATTTTCCAGGTTGTTGTGTTTGTTTGGGTATTTTTTCAGGGTCATTATTAATTTAGATTCTGAGCGGAGCGACGAATGTATTGATATTTTACAATGATGTGTTTTTTTTTTATTTTTGTGTTTGTCATCACCTTTTAGGACAGTAAAAATGTTTGGATCTTCTTCAACAGTAATTTTTCTGATAGGAAAGTGAATCTAAATGTTACTTTGGGAGTCAAAAATTAAAAATTTCCCGGTATTTTTCAAAAGCGACGTGAAAAACAAAAGAAATATTAAGAAAAACGGGAATTTTTACGCAAAATCGATTTTGGTTTTTGGTGTAACTCTAAAACAAATGACCGTAGATGCATGAAATTTTCACTGGTTGTTTATGTTTGCATTTTCTATACACGATAAAATTTTGAAAATAATATGACTCTTTTTGAACTGTTTACGGACATTGTCAGTTTTCAATTTTTTTATTTTCTTTTCTATAAATATCAATTCAATTTTATTTGTTGGTTAAAAAAGCTTGAAAATTTAATAGAAGGCTCCTAGGTTATTGTTTCAAAGGCAGATTATTAAATTAAAAATCCTTAGTCATAATTTTTTTTTATAATCGTTTAAAGTTTAAATCTTGACAAAATACGGAAAAATCACGAAAATTAGCAAATTACTTTTAGTTGAGATTTCGTAAACATTTTTTTTTTTAATCTAAAACGTGAAAATGTAATACAAGATTCCTAATAAGTTTTTCTACCTATAACAAAAAAAAAGTCTACAAGAAAGTAAAATTAAATTTTTATGAGCGTTTGAAATTAACATTTTTACAATAATTGATATTCACTCGATGTCTCATGTATTGTTTTTCTTATTTTATTGTAATTAAAAAGCGAATGACTCCTGATACTTGACAATTTTACTGATTGTGTATATTAGCATTTTCTATACACGATAAAATTTTTAAAATAATTTGACTATTTTTGAGCTGTTTACGGTCAGTTTTAAATTTTTTTAGTTTTTTTTGTCTATAAATATCAATTAAATTTTATTTGTTGGGTAAAAAAGCGTGGGAATTTAATTTAAGGCTCCTAATATAATGTTACAATGGCAGTTGAAAAATATTAAAAATACATAGGCACACATTTTTTTTATAATCATTTAAAGTTCAAATTTTGACAAAATGTATCAAATTAAAAATGCAATAATTATTTTGTGGTTAAAATTTATAAATTTCTCAACTTTTATAGTTAAGGATTGAAAATTTAAATTAAGGTTTCACGTAAATAGGTTATATATAATTTACTTTGAATTTATTTGAGATGAGCTAAATGATTTGTCTTGACTATCACATGTGATGTATGGGAACCTACAACATGTTGGGTTTCTTAGCCATATAATGGGAACATGAATTATGTCATTGGTTTTTGTAAACAACATGACATTCTAACTTCTAAAATTCTAATACTTAAATGGTGATATTAATATATTTGTTATATATTTTCTATATTTTTATAACTTACATTAATATAATTATAATGTAATATATTATATTGTATCAAATTACACAGAATGACTTTAATATTAATTTAAAATTCAAAATTAAACTAAACAATATCAAATTGAATTTAAAATATTACCAGGTTACTTAAAATCAATAGTTTATAATATAAGTATTTACAAATTACAATATACATTTTATACATTTATTCTATGTAATATTATGTGTGTACTTATACTGTGTACCTATACAGTATTTCTGAATACCTATATTTTTTGATTAAGTTATATCTATAAAATATTATGTACCTAATATTATATCATAATAATTATTAAAGTTATATATATAATTACTTATATATTATAATATGTTCATATATAAATGTGCGACATGATCCAAGTATAAATCCATATATATGTAATATTAAAATAGATGTTTAAAATGACTATTAATGAAGAATTAAATAGGTACTTTAAATAAAAATAGGAAGGTGTACTAGTAAAAATAATAAAAATGGATGTGCTTGTTTTTAAATGTATGTATAATTATTGCAAGTGCAACAATGGCTAAATCACAAATCCTATACTATTGGTGATCGGTAAACGCATCATTTTTTATTTTATATCAGTTATTTTCCATGACTGAAGATGAACAACTTTTGTTGCTTTTAGTATATTCAATAAACTAGAAAGGCATGGTTTATCAAAAAAATCTGAAAGCTTATCATACTTGCGTCCAATTATTATATCATTACCATCTAATTTTGATGTAGCAATGTTTTCTATGACAACTATATCATTATTTTTCATTTTTACACAATTATCACAATTATTTAGTTTTAAAATAAACTGTTTTGTCTTCCAGCCAGTGAACTGCGGTTTATTAGCAGCATCTAGAGTAAGTGGCCTATTTTTGAATTTACACTGACTATTGAAAGGTCCTAATACATTAGGATTATGTGCAGGCTGTTCACTTTGTAACATGTTTTCATCGGTATATCGCCTTGCCAGTTGTTGTAGCGGTTTAACTCCGTTTTTTATTTATTTTTTTATTGTTTGCATATAACTTTCAAAAGGAAAAGCAGAAAAGTTATTAATAGACCCAAATTTTTTTGCGTCATCGGCCAAATTTCTTATTCCAAAACGGTAGTATTCACCACTGTTAATGGATTGTAATGATATAGTTTTTGGTGTGTTTTAATAATGTACGAGCATCTTTAGGTAGATTAGTAAATAGATGGCATTTCGATGAACTAGTTAGTAAATCATTCAAAGCAGACTGTGTTATACTGTGGCGAATAGCCCAACACGCAATTATTTTTTCTGGATCTTCACTAGTAGTTACTACCTACAAGGTACATCATTATCACTACTTGAGTCAGAACTACTAAAATTTTCGAAGCTGTTATAAGGTGTATTTGAACTAACATCTTCATTGTGTACAAATGTATTTAAAGTGGGCGTGTGGGATGTTGAAGAATGAGATAATAATGTATTACAATCATCGTTTTATTCACTTCTCGATGAAAATAGACTAGCAACAGATATGGCAGCTCTTTTCCGTTGGCGGTAGCGAGTTGACTTTGACCTGCATGAATATATTGGTTCCCAATAAAATAATGAATATATTTAAATACAATATGGCGAGAGTATTATAATAATATATAGGTACCTATTCTGTATTATTTTTATTATCTATTTATAAAAATGCATGTATAAAAGAAAATATGATGAAATATAATATATGTATAAATATGGATGATTTTAGTTAATACTATAATTCATTGTTACTCATAATATGGCAATGTCACGGTTGGTTACAGATGGGAATTAAAAATTCAAGAAATTATGATAAGTAGGTGTATAGATATTTAATGTTATAATTTATTGTGTAACATATTATGATGATATACATACGTTTACAGGATAAGATTAATTATTTTTAATAGTAAAATTATAAACCATATTATTTGAAATACATATAAATATATTAAATATATTGTCCATGACTTAAACTATATTATGTTCACCTTCTTAATTCAACAAGCTTTTTTATATCAAAACAGATAATGAAATATATTTTATAATCATATAAAATAATCAACAACATAATTTGCTTATTATTTACCTATTGGTATAAGAGATAGTAGTACATTATACATGTTATACCGACATCACTACTTATAATATTTTTAGCATGATAAAAAAATCAATTTAGTATAGTTATATTTTAATAATGATATACACAGTACCTATATGATATTTATATTATACACTTGTTAAATTCAATGATAAATCAATATTTTATTATTAATTATTATAACTATTATAACAATTATTATATACTTCCGCCATGATTATGATGATTATTGATGCTCGGATTGATGAACTACACGTAACACGTCTTATTGCAAGCGAACAAATTTCAAATAATTGTCAAATGGATAGAAATTGATAGAGTAGGTAGGGTAATAATAATTATGATAACTGCATAGACGTATAAAATATGTCTATGATAATAACTGATAAAAATATTTAATGCCGTGCATATATATTGGGAATTTTTTTAGCAAAGACTATTAATAAGCTGATTCGATGTAATATTTTATCAGGAGTGCAGTGTCGGTTAAACGGGCAGCGAATGGTTGGCATAATGTTCTATAACACGGTGTTTTGAACACTGTCTCTGAACTTCACAACAGTGTTAAAACATTTTTCCTGAACCGTTAAATTTCTGTCGGTGCATTTACATTTTCTCTGCACCGTTCAATGTCAGAAACACCTACTCTGCACCACAATAAAAATAATATAATGAATATATTTTGTTAAAAATTACCATCAACACTTTTATTGAACCACCATGGTTTTATCAACGTAGATCTCACACTGTGTATGAACAGTTAAAAAACTACAGTGTTCGTAAACCGACATTGAATGTTAAAGTTGCTACTCGGGTAATATCATAGGCTGACTGACCGTTTTCGCTCATAATCGTTTTTCTTATACAATATGATACTATATCATTGAATTCAAATTTAACACCATCCATTACAGTGACCCACTTTGTAACCTACTGTACAGCAGAGCGACACCCACTTACCCATCTTTTTAAATTTATTGCGGAGGATAGTGTTTTGTATAATGTTTTTAAATTTTAATTTAAAGTTTACCGCACTCACGGTTAATGACATTCCGAAGATGAATCCGGTTGAGGTTGACGTCGATAGCGTCGTGTACGGTTTTTCGTCGCTATCAGCGTACAAACCAGCTAACATGCCATTCGACGTCAATGTCACCGGACCCTGTTTCCCTTGCAAGAACACCAAGATGCTACAGGGGATATTCGGCGTGTCTCGGAAGAGTAAGTGTGGACGTTTAATCGAGGTAATGTTAGGTTTATTAATTTGTTTTAATTTTATAGCCTACTCTCATGTCGAGTTCATGACAACTTGACTAATGTTAGTTTTTCGTATTAATGTTATATTGAGGTTAGGTTACGTTTATTAATTTCTTTTAATTTTATAGCCTACTCTCACATAGAGTTCACCCTAGGGGGCGAGCCGCCAATTAGGGTGTTGATTAGTGTCCCGAAGGGAATCCGTTCCACCGACTACATGTCTTCGGACTCCTCGGAGGACGAGGACGAAGCGGAGCAGGTCAAGGTTTACGATTACAGGAAATATTTCCTAGACACAGTTCTGGGCCCAGCTATCCTCAAGTTGGGCTCAGGCTGTCGTAGTAGGAGGAAGGGGGCCGGCAATCCGTTTTGCAGTAAGTGGCACCTCCACCCCGCCGACTGGTCGAAGTTGGCATTCGAGGTGGAGCGGTTGACCACCGAAGCCGGCACGTTTGGCAGTTTTTTGTAAGTGTCATCTCGTGTATTTCTTTTGTATTTTCCTTAGTGTAATTGTACATTACGTTATTGAATATATATATTATACATATGATCGTAAGCAATGCATCTAAAATATTTGAACACCGACTTACAGGAGTTATTTGTAAGTGTTGTCTTGTGTTTTCTTAGTGTAATTGTACATTAATTTATTTAATTGTAGGTTTTACGTTGCGCTGCATGGTTTGCAGATGTCCGATGATGCAGCCCTGGGCCTCATCAACCGGTACATTGACCCTCACCACGCCTCCATTGTAATTGTTCAATGCCATTTTGCCGTTGAATTTACAATGAAGTCGTCGGTGAGGGCCGTGCTTGTGGACCGGCATGTAGCCCAGGCGTTGCTGGGTGGAGTGAAATTTTACCCTGGTCTCGGTGTATAATGAAATCAAAAAAAAAAATGACAGTATTACAGGATGCTATGAATAGGTATACTAATAAAGAAATACAAGACTTAGAATATTTGCAAATTGTATCACATCATTATAGTTTTACATAATAGTTTTTCATACAACACAATATTTATAACGATTATTTATTATTTTTTATTATATTTTATTATTATGTGGACAATTATTAATTATTATTATGAAAAATATGATTTTGGATTATTTATTATGATTTTTTATACTATGATTTAAATATTGATATNTTTATTATATTTTATTATTATGTGGACAATTATTAATTATTATTATGAAAAATATGATTTTGGATTATTTATTATGATTTTTTATACTATGATTTAAATATTGATATGATATGATATGATATTATATTATAATTTTATTCTACTATTTGATTTTCTTCACTGGCGGAGTTTACATAAACTCAATTTTACCTGATGTTTTTCAGTGGCGGAGTTTACATGAACCCAATTTTACCTGTTTTTTTTTTCTGGCGGAGTTTACAGTAAAAAAAGGTACTTGTGGCGGAGTTTACGTGCGCCCGCCGTGCACATTCTGCGCCGCGGTCTCAATGACACATCTGTGTTCACGTGGCTGTTGTTGGGCGGTGATAGTTGTCTGGAAAGCCGAATGGCTTCCCTTCAGCCTATCGGCAACTGTGCCCCCCAATTTATCGCCGCATTCAGGTTGTTTCTGCGGGACGCGGTGCGGGGCTCGGGCGTCCGGTTCGAGTGTGTGGTCAGTGGTGACACATCGTCTGAGGTGTTGTCGCTGATGGCCACATACGGAACTCGGATGTCCGAGTTTTGTCTCGCGAACGGGTTGCTCGTGTGTTCAACAAAGGATTGGCCTTACTACGTCAATTCCTTGATGTTGAACACATTGAGTCGGCTTGTGGACGTTGTCGAGAAGTTGCAGACGGCCAACTTCCACAGCCATGTAAGTTTATTGCGTGTTTATCTTTACTGGGGTAGGTGAGGTTAATGTTTTAATTATGTTTTTGCTGTTTTAGTTGCTAGCGACCGTCTATGATGCCGAAATAATGCTGAGGTTCTGGGCATTTGGAGAGGCGAGGTTCCTGGACCATAAAAGGGTTTCGGCCATATTCCCGTGTCGACAGTTGGCCCCCGGGAGCAAGAAAAAGAGTCGGCGGGACGAAAATGGATTCGTACTGTATGACCCCTCACTGGCCGGAAATTTCAACCGGGTAATGCCGAGTGAAATTTTCGGCCACGTACCAGTTGGTCCGTTCGTGAGGGTCATACTGGCCGAAGTATTTTCGTCCCTCACCGTCGACCTGTTAGGCTAACCGCCGAGCGAAACTGCTTCTTGAAAGATGTATACTTCAATGAGGTACTCGCTACCTGTTTGATTGATTCCGGGTCGTCGAACGTACTAGTGCGTGCCAGTCTCGCGGAACGATCGAAAATCGTGATCAACTGCATTTCCCGACCGTTATTCACCGTGGGCGACGCGTACCAGCCGAGCGTAACGACTCTAGGCGAAACTACTGCAGACATAACCATAAACAGAGCGTACGCTGCCGAACACCCCGTTCTGGTGGTCAGCGACGACTCCATACCTGTGGATGTCTTAGTAGGTCGGACTTGGTTAAATCTGCCGCATATCAGTTACTACAAACAACACGATCAGTTTATAATAGAATCATTGAACGTCATCAGTCCCGATTCCACGTCAGAGCATGTGGGCGCGGAGCTGACGGACGTATGTGTGGCACTAATCAGTGCTGAAAAACCGTTCTCGTCACCGCTAACAAAATCTGACGTTCACATCGATGAGCAGGTACCCGACACCGTATGTCATCGCCTGGTCCTGCTGATTAACGAGTACCGTGATGTTTTTGCCAAGACACTGTTGGAGCTCGGCTGTACCGACGTGCACAAAATGAATATAGTGGAGGTAATTGGCAGTGGCCCTGTACGTCAAAAACCATATCGAACTTCACCGTCCGACCGCCGCATGATTTCTCGAATTTTAGACGAGTGGAAAACGGCTGGTATCATCTCTGATTCCACCTCACCATATGCCAGTCCAGTCCTGCTGGTGAACAAGGGCACTGGTGATAAACGGCTGTGTGTTGATTACCGCCGATTAAATCAACAAAAGATCGATCAGCCATATCCGATGCCGGAGATTGACGGCCTGTTGTCACAGCTCGTCGAGGGTCGATTTTTCTCCACCATGGATTTGTCCAACGGGTTCCTACAGATCCCGCTCAGTGAAGAGGCAAAGGAGAAAACGGCGTACGTGACGGAAGAGACCACGGCAAAATTTGAAAGGATGCCGTTTGGTTTAAAGGGTGCGCCTGGTGTTTTTCAAAAGACCATGAATGTAGTTTTTAAGGATCTGAAGAATGCTGAACTGATACACATATATCTGGACGACTTGATTATTCCGTCTCGTGACTGGGAAGACATGCTCTCCGTAGTACGACGTGTTTTCCAATCACTACGCACCGCAAGCCTGACGCTCAAACCAGGCAAGTGCACGTTTGGCGCCAGCAAGTTGGATTTCCTTGGATTCACCGTGTCTAAGGGAGTGATACAACCGGGACCGAAAGTCCATGCAATCAAGTCTTTCCCGCGTCCGCGCGATGTACACGAGGTGCGACGTTTCCTGGGACTAGCCGGATACTTCCGGCGTTTTATAATTAGTTACGCAAGTTTAGCAGCACCGTTAACACAGCTCACTAGTAAGGACACGCCTTATGAGTGGACCGAAGAACGCGAGACGTCCTTTGTAGCACTCCGAGACCATCTGTGTAGTGCCCCGGTTGTGCGAATGTTCGATCAGAATGCGGAGGTGACGCAAGTCCACACTGACGCGAGCGCTGTAGCACTATCGGGAATACTGTTGCAGGGACCGACGAGCACTGAGTTACACATGGTATATGCCGTCAGCAAAAAGACCACGGAAGCTGAGTCTAAGTATCATAGTAGCCGTTTGGAATTGTACGCCGTCATCTGGTCTCTGAATAGACTCCGCCCGTACCTGCTTGGGATCCGCTTTACGGTGGTCACCGATTGCCAGTCGTTGGTCTACCTCAATATGCACAAGACAGTTAAGCCTCAGATTGCGCGCTGGTTTGAAGTCCTGCAAGAATTCGACTTCGACGTCAAGTTCCGACCGGGCAGCCGAATGTCACACGTTGATGCGCTGAGTCGCGCCGCGCCGACACCGCCCGTCGAAGGAGTTTTGTCCGTCAACGAGGAGCTTACAGAACGTCTTGACGTATTCGAATTTTGCCGGCAACGAAGTATAAAACACACGCTAAATTCAACGAGCCATCCGCAAGCCAATGGCCAAGTGGAGAGGGCCAACCGAACCATTGTGCCACTGCTCAGCATTTTGTCCACCGATCAGGAACGTTGGGACGACAAAGTCGGAGAACTGGAAAGACACTTGAACACTGCCGTTAACAAAACCAGTAATAAGACGCCCTTTGAAGCCCTGCATGGCTACCGACCCCGGTACACTGGTGACGTACTGTCCAGTTTTAGCCGTACACGAAACAACTGGACAGACCCGAGCGAGATACAAAAACAAGTGTTTGACGCAGTAGCCAATGGGCAAACCCGTATGAAGGAGCATTACGATAAACGACACCACGAAGGTGTGAAGTACGATGTTGGGGAAGTCGTGGTGATGACATGCCAACCACGAGCCGACCAACCAACGAAGCTGCAGGCTAAGTACCGCGGGCGACCGCTCCAGGTGTTGAAGGTATTACCTGGTGACACGTATCGGGTAGCGGAGGTGGCTACCGATGGCCGTGAGGTTTACGCCACTACCGCGCATACGTCTCAACT